GAAAGCCGGTGGAGTGGCGGTTAATTTTTTGAGGGTGAGACCCCCTCCCTACAGGAAGCCACGACCACGTGTCATGGCAGGGGAAATGGCCACGGATCCTGTTCATCACCCCATGCGGAGTTCGCGAACAGAAGCAAAATTTTGCGAACGGTGCTGTTCGTGACCCGAATTGTTCGTGAACAGAAGCGTTCATGACCCGAGGCACCATTGTACATAATATTTAGTGGGAGGGAGTTCCAGAAGATTGATGCTACAATGGAAAAGGCTCTCTTCTACCCTGAGAAAGACAAGCAGTTCTTACTTCTTCACCTATGATGACTTTAACTTCAACTTATAAATAAAGAATACATTTTTATATTGATACTCACACATTGGATTATATTTATTAGAGTTTTGATAGTAGCTATGTACCCAGCAGTAATACAGAGAACATAAACAGATAACAGACATTAACAAGCAGGAAATACAAAGACCAGATTACTGCTATACAAAAGGAAATATGGAAAGAGAGGGCTATGGATTTGAACCTAAAGAACATACAGTTGTGGAATCCTGTTAAGTCATTAGGCGAGGGCCTGCTTTGGGCACCGCTGCAATGTGAAGTGAAGGGGGCATAGCCAGGAAGACAAACCTTCTCAGTGGTGGCCCCAACTTTATGGAACATGCTGCCTCTGGAGATATGCTTTTTTTTTTTGGGTCCTTTAAATCTTTCTTTTTAAATAGGCCTTTAATACTATTGAGGCCTAATGGGAAAGGGGAATAGACATCTTCTTATTTATTTTTTATTGCTTGTAACATATTTCAAGATTGCTTGTTGAGATACTTGTACACTCCCCAAAGTCATGAAATTGAAGCAGTATAGAAATCACGTAAGTAAATAGTAAACTGTGTTTGCTCCAGTTCTTGAGTTGCCATAAAGATTCAGGCCTAGACATATTGTGTCAAGACTCTGGAAAGCTTCAGCCAAATTCATGCCTGCCTTGGTAGAGCCTGACAATGACACTCTTATTTTCAAGGAATGGAACATTGTAAGTCTCATTCTGTATGTTGATCCATTTTTGGAAACAATGGGAAATATTAAATTCAGTGTTCCAAAAACAGGAGAAAGATTGGTAAATTTTAAAATTCAAAGCAGCCAGGGATGTTTATATAATCAACTTGCATATATAAAGTATGCACAGAGATGTTCAAATTGATTCTCATTTATAAAACAATGTGAATTGAGGTGTTTTCATTTATAAAACAATGTCAACTGATGTATTTATTTTTAATTTCCTTGCAGTACAGGTGACCGACAACGGTCATTGTTCTGTTTCGCCTGCTTCTGCTTTCGCTATTGCTACTGCTGCAGCTGGTCATGGAAGTCCACCAGGTGAGACTACTAGTAGGTCTAGGTGAATCAGCCCTGATTTGATTTGAATTGGACATATGACCATGATTTTATCTAAGTTTCCAATTTAAGGACAAAACAATTTATTCTACCTGATCTGAGATTTGATTTTAAAGACGAAATTGTCAGTAGTCTGCAATGATAAGTATCAGAACACCTAATGCTGCTTAAGTTTTTGGACTGAATGGGATGGAAATTATAGGAATCACAGACCCAGGTTTTGACTGGTACCTTCACAAATGTCACTATAACAAATTTTGAAGTATTCTTCTTGCATTTTCAACTTAAAAATATTTTTTTAGAAACTGTTTAAAAATAAGGTGCTTTTATGAGATACCACTGAAAAAGAATGACTACTGATTACCCTTGTGGGCTGGAGTGTTTTTGTGGGTTGCCATGAGGGTGGGCATCACTGGCAAGCTTGGCTCCTCCAGGGGAGGATCCCTTTCATCAGTGGTAGGACACCAAAGTATCAGATTTGTAATACTTAGCTTAATAGTAATACTTTATATTAATTGCTGGTTAGCAAAGGTGGAAGAAGCAGGCTGGCAAGAGAGAGAGAGTAACATATGCATGTCACATAGAAAGAAGCTGACAGAGGGAAAAAGGCATTTGCAAATCTTCTATCCTCTATTCTTAATAGCAATCAAAGTTCAAGCTGGCATTTATTTATTTAAAAGATTTGTATAGCTGCAAATCTTATGTAACAATCCTGGGTGGCTCACAACAGTAATAACAGAATAAAAACGAAAACATAAAGAACAATGGCAAGCTAACCCTTAGAGATGCTTAGAGTCACATGGCTCAAATGTTGCCATCTACAGAACACAGCACAGAACACAGCACATTGGGACATATACATCAGAACTGTACAGCTTCCCTGGGCTCCAGCCTCGCATCACCCCAAGGCTTGTTGGAAAAGCCAGGTCTTTACAGCTTTTTGGAAGGCCATGAGGGTAGGGGCCTGCTGAATCTCAGGGGGAAGAGTGTTCCAAAGGGAAGGGCCACTACCAAGAAAGTGCTCTCCCTAGGTCCTGCTAGATGGCAACATTTGAGGCACGGGACTCTAAGCATCTCTAAGGGTTAGCTTGCCATTCATTCTTTTATTGCTGAGAGACTGAAAAACCTGCCCTACTCATGCATAATTTGAAATTACAGAGCATATGCCGGACCAGTCAGCCTTCAGCCCATACCTAGCATGCTGAGAGCCCAGCTGTACTCCCAGTTGGGTTGGCAGGAGCAATACAGAACGTTAGCAGGAGCTAACATTCCATTAGCACCACGAAGCCGAATTAAGGCATATGCTTGGCCACATTAGAGAAGTTGAGAACAAATCAGATGAAGGTTGCACAAAGCAATGTTAGCCTTACCAGCTGAAAACAGCTCTAATAAGCACAGAGTTTAATATATGGATAAAGCAGTGTGTGACTTGTGAACTTGTGTTAATGTCAAAGAACTCATCACACCATTCAGTTGTTCCTCATAGTTTGTTGCAAAATTAAACATTGCCTTTAACAAAGCTAGAAGCATAGAAAGCCCTGCAAATCATTTCAGAAAGCTATGAAGTGCTGATTCAGTTTGATGCTTTGAATGAAGACCCTTCTTTTATTCACAAATGAAATTGTGAATTGATTGAAGCTTTGTTGAATCAAAGCATACCTTTGAAGCTTTACAGAACCCTAATGACTGGACCTATCGAGAAAATAAAAATGCATAAGCATCAATAAATAGTTATTCACAAAAAAACAAATGCAATCAATCTTTCTAATAAGTTTTAGTTCAGTAATTTCATGCGAAGTTTCAGTTTCTTTACTTGCAAAATGGTCTGTTTGTAAATGTGTATATGTGCTCTAGCCACACACACAAACATATGCACACATAGATACCAATTGAGGATAACTTCATCTCTGGTCCAAGAGAGCTATCACAAAGATATCTGATTTGTTTCAAAGCCTTTTTTAAAGTGCCAATTATCTCTTTTGAAGTTTTAAAAGCTGCTGAGCCCAAAATAGTTAAAAAATGGCTTATTCCCACATGATTTTTTCCCCTTCCATCTAACAACTTCATATGAAACTCTCTTCCATATCCCAGTGACATCTAAAAGCATGGCTAATATTTTAAAATTATTATAATGATTGCAACAACCAGGTTTTGGAAGTCCTTTCTCCAAGAAACTTCTAAAGTTTCATCCCTTCAAAATATTTAGAAGGCTAAGTGTTCCAATTTTATTGCTTTTTCCAACTAGTGTAGTATATTGCTCCTCCAGTGAGATAATTGTTTGATCTTATGGGTTTATGTCTATGTTCACTTGTTTCCTTACTTAAGTGCATGTTCTTCTGGCTGTTCTAATTTTTAAATTTTGTTTTGTTTTATGCCCCTTTGGGCAAACATTTAATATGAATAAAGAAAATGATGCTACTATTACAACACGGGAAGAAACTGCATTTGGTGAAATTTTCCATGCTGTAGCTGTTATTTTTGCAAGAATCAAGCATAACAGTGTTTCTGTTATGAAGATTACACTTTTTCTAGATATGAATGTGGATTTGGCATTTCATCTCTATTGCTTTTCATCTGAAATCTGTATATTGTTTTATCTCTAACAATTCATCTGTCTGAGGTGCAAAGACTGAGCATAAAATAAATTTGTTTCAATCTGTCTATAAATGTGATACCCATCTACATATATTCCCTTTTCCTTGTAACTTTCACAAACTGTGATGAATCTGAATAGAATTCTATTTTTGTTCCAGAAGTAAGAGCTGTTTTGAATCTGGAGAACTGTTGCTTAGCAATTCTGTCAAATGGTTGGGCAAATGCTTTCTTTCAGACTGGCAAATCACACTATGTAGCTTTTATTAAGCAATTATTGAGCAATAACCTTGTATTAAAATTACAATTACCTGAGAAGGATAAAGGGGGCTTCACCTTGTTTATAAATATATCTTAATAAATATATCATCTTTTATAAGGAAAGGCTACATAGTTTAGTGACAGAGCATATGAACAAAGTTCATAGTCTTCTATGTCGGTCCTCTAGTCTTCAGTTAAAAGCATCAGCAGATGTTGGGAGCAAGCTGTCATGGATGCCCTTGAGGTATCCTTGGGTACCGATAATACTTTATATTATATATAGTGCCTGTTAAACATGCATCTGAATTCTGATTTATACTGGAGATTAGTGAACCATCCACAGCTTTCCTCACATTAACTCATTAGAAATTATCTAAAACTAAAAATTGGTTAGCCTTAAATAATTTCTTGAAGCCAACCAAGATCTTAAAAAAAAACAAAAAAAAAACCTAACCATTTCTTTCCACCACTTTCCCAGGAGAACATGAAAACATAATGACAAAATGCCTCTGAATTAAATGACGATACAGTATACTGATTAGGCCACAAAGTTGGCATGTAGTCTGTTTTTTAATTAAATGTAAGGGAAAAGTTGAGACTGCATTGTGAAGTGTGGTGGTCTCAGCTGGAAGCTAGGATTATTGGCCAAAGTAAAACTAAAGCTTTGCTCGGAAGAGATGTGCAACTGTTTCTGAGTTGTGGGCTGCTCTCAGCCCTTAGACAGCACGATAAAGTCTGCACTGTAAAGAGTTATGGTGGAGCCAAGACAAAAACAAATCTCATTTCGTTTACATTTCATATTAATTAAATCCAAACAGTTGCTTTTTATAAGGAGAACATTTTTAACATAAGTGAATTCTGATGCAGAAGTGTCAGGGGATTAGAAGTAATTAAACAGCTCACTTCCTTTTTTGGATAATGCTTCATCACTCAAATGTCTACATTTTCTACTATGTAGACTCTTGAAAGTATCTGCATCTTTCAAAAGTAGTATAGGAAATGGCTTTTCATAACATTTCAAATTACATCCCAATACAAATCCAAGATGGCGGCTGCCAGCAAATGCTGGTCATTGCTGCTGTATTGGGGGTCTTGTGGTTTTGACCTCTCCCCCCCCCGGGATTTATCATCTTTTAGGGATGGACTGGGTGCAGAGGAGACCGCGAGGGTTTTTTTTACCCCCTCTGGTGTGTCTTCTTGGGCACAACCCTGGACGGAGCGGCAGGGCACAGGGAGAGCGTGGTGGTTTGCAGCGGGGAGCAGCGGCCTTGGACGAACTTTGGGTGAGCTCCGGTGTGGTGCAGTCCCTGTATGGTGTGCCGAGCCCCTGGAATGGAGAGCTGGCGTGGCGAACCCCAAGGGGCACCGGTGCAGCGTGGCGAGCCTACTGAGCTTGCCTAGGCTTGGTGCGGTGGAGAAAGCCCTTGCGGACCTCGGTGTGGGTGGCAACCTTTGGCGAGCCTTGAAATGCCGCGGCCCCAGGAGGGTTGCAACAAGCTGCAGCAGGTCCTGGTGAGCCCCGGTGTGGTGCAGGAAGCCCCGGTGAGCTCCAATACGGCGCGGCAAACTGAATGGACCCTGGCACGGCACACTGAGTCCCAGGCCCAGCAGGCCCAGCAAGCCCTCAGGTGCCGCAGTGAGCCCCAGGGGGCCACTGGAGCAGCACTGTGAGCTTCAATTGACCCCGGGACTACATGTTGTGTTTTAGAGTGCCCCGGAGCAACGCAGCTAACTCCAGGGATGTGGGAATTCACAGGTGGCTGAAGCCCTGGGAACTTGGTGGTTTGGCACAAGGACGCTGGGCGGGTTGTAGGGGCCGAGGCCGTAGCGGACTTGCAGTCCGGATGTGGAGGAAGATTGTTTGGTGCCGGAGGAGCAGCCGGACAGGGAAGCAGCCGGACAGCATCCGGAGTCAACAGCCCCTGGTTCTAAGACCAGCGAACTGGGGATTAAGAATCTAGCCACCCCCATTAAGGCCCCCCCCGGGGCCAGTGGAGAACCGCAGGGTCCCTCCAGCATGAGTCCGACTCCCTCCTGGGAGTGAGAGTCTGGGAGGGAGTCTGAGACCGTGTGAGGATACTAGGTTCCATCTTCAGGGAGGGAGACAGGAAGTGTGAGGGAATGAGTTGGATGTCCACCCTGCCTACTAGTGAGAGAGGTCATGCAGGGTGGCAGAGGGTGAGGGTGAGTGTATGGTTCAGTGGGGGTGGGTCCTGGTGGCGCCGAGAGCGTGAGCTGGTGCACCGGGGTGACCCTCCCTCACCAGTAAGTGTTTGAATATGAATGAGGATGAGTGGTTGGAAGGAGAGGCCCTTGCTTCGGATTGGGGACCCGGGAGGTCCAGGTGGGGAGGTATTTGGGCCCAGAACCCCTGGGGGCTATGTGGTGGGCTACACCATCAAGGTGGTGACGGGCAGGGGACATTATGGCGGGAGCTGGAGGGCGGGCCATCTTTGGGGAAGACGCCCCCAGTATGTCTCACCGGTGGCGTGTTCCGGCCCTCCTGACTCATTCCCAGGTTCTGGTCAGCAGTTTCATAGGGGCTTTTGGCTGCTGCTGCTGCTTAATGCCAGGCTGGTTAACAACAAGGCCCCCCTCATATGTGACTTGATCACTGAGGAGGGGGCAGACCTGGCATGTATTACCGAGACCTGGCTAGGCTCCGAGGGAGGGGTGCCCCTCTCGGAAATATGCCCAGCTGGGTTCACGGGGTGGCACCAGCCGAGATGCCAGGGCAGGGGAGGAGGGGTAGCTGTTGTGATCCCGGAATCTCTAGTGGCCTTCAGGGGCATTGCTCCACAAGTTTCAGGCTGTGAGACCCTGTTCATTAGGTTGGGCTCCCGCGAACAGTTGGGATTTATATGGCCCGATTTTCCATCTTCTTGGATTTTTCCTTTTTTAGTATTGTTTTAAT